CCCCCTCCTCCCTTTCTTCCTTCCCCCCTCCTCCCTTTCTTCCTCCCTTCCCTCCTTCCTTCCTCCCTCCCTCCCTCCTTCCTTCTTTCCCACCTTCACTTTCCTTTTCCTCTCCCCAGAGTATTCTGTCCTTTTCTGTTATAAGTAGCAGGTCTCAGAACCACCAAATCAACAGTCGACAGAGTATTTCTAAAGGGGGAAAACTCTCAAACAGCCAAGATAAACAGATTTTTAAAAAGAAAAAGAAGAAAAAAAACCCCAGAAGGAATCGTTTCCCAGGAGTGTCGCCCCGAGCCCTAACTCCCACGGCCAAACGACAAGGGAATAGGGGAAACTGTAGTCCAACTCCCGAAGGGCAGGACTACAAAAAAGGCGCTGCTTGGCGAAGTCTCTCCTTAAAGCGAAGGGACTAGCGCCTTGGGATTCAAATTCTAAGCCGGTTTGGCGGGCGTGGGGGAAGCCTTTCTCCTTTCTTTCCCCTTCCGGCAGCTTGCAAGGCCGGCCTCCGTTTCCCCAGTCGCCGCCGCCGCCCCCACCCCCCTTGCCCGGGACCGCGCTTGGCTTTACACGTTCCCTACCTCGGGCCGGGGTGACCCGTGTAAGATCCCGGGGCCGTCAAGGCCGCCGTTGACCTGGAAGCGGCGTCTGCGGCCCGGGAAGCGAGCGCAAAGGGCGGATTCTGCTTTGCTTGGCCGCGGCTGGATCTCGGATCGTGGAAGGCAGAGCTCCCGGGCCTTTGAAACCCCCTTGCTCGCCGGCAGGGCTTCTTCTGCAGGGACGGGGAGGCGGGGGGGAGAGATTTGGGCAGCCCGGTTCCCCCTTCAAGGCGGAAAAAAAAGGGAGGGGGGAGGTGGGAGGCGTGTGGCTGCGCCTTCTGGGTCCGGCTCTTCCTCCCCCCCCGAAAGCGCAGGCGCCTTGCGCAAAAGCCGCTGGTATCACTCGCAGGTTGGTCGGGGCCCCCGATCCCTCTGTAAATGAGTAACGCTCATCTCATCGCCTGGCTCCCCGACCCCGACCCATCACGGTGGCAAGGACCTTGCTCGGGTTGCGTCACGGGGCCAAAGTGGCGAGTAATCATATTCTGATCCGGGTTCATGTGACCAGCCGGGAGGAGGAAGAGGAGGATTAGGAGGCGTTGCCTGCCTTAGAAAAGGTGGTGTCCTTCAGGTAGTCCGGAGAGACCCAGAAGAACCTCCATAGCCTTGCTGGTACTTTGGATTTGCAAAAAGAACCAAACAGGAACCAACGGGGAATAATAATAATAATAATAATTAATAATAATAATCATAATAATCATAATAATCATAATAATCATAATAATCATCATCATAATCATCATAATCATAATAGTCATAGTCATAATCATAGCCATAATCATAGTCATAGTCATAGTCATACTCATAATCATAATATTCCCAGGTTATAACTAGCAAGGTGAATAATAGCTTGTGTCCTAAGCAACAGAGCGGTCAATGTCTGGAATGCTCTACCTGACTCTGTAGTTTCTTCCCCAAACCCCCAAAACTTTAACCTTAGACTGTCTACTATTGACCTCACCCCTTTCCTAAGAGGTCTGTAGGGGACGTGCATAAGCGCACCAACTTGCCTACCATCCCTGTCCTATTGTTTCTTTTTATTTTTCTTATATGTATCCATTTCATGTATTCATAACTATGTTTATACTTATACCTATTATCTTGTAAGTGATTGACAAATCAAATAAATAATACTGTCTACTATTGACCTCACCCCTTTCCTAAGAGGTCTGTAGGGGGTGTGCATAAGCGCACCAACGTGCCTACCGTCCCTGTCCTATTGTTTCTTTTTTCTTATTCGTATCCATTTTATGTATTCATAACCATGTTTATAGTAACCATGTTATCTAGTAATTGCTTGACAAAATAAAATAAATAAATAAAATAAATAAAAACATGGTATTGCACATGTAAAACATGTAAAAACATGGTCTTTCCTAAGAGGCCTGTAGGGGGCATGCATAAGTGCACCAACGTGCCTACCGTCTCTGTCCTATTGTTTCTTTAAATTTTTCTTATATGTATCCATTTCATGTATCCATAACTATGTTTATACTTATACTTGTTACCTTGTAAGCAATTGACAAAACAAATAAATAAATACATAAAATAAATAAAGTTGACTTGTTGGATTTAAAGTCAATGCGTAGGTTTGCCGCCATCACGGGTATAGTTTCTTCTGTTTGAGCTGGACTAGAAGACCTCCAAGGTCCCTTCCATCTCTGTTCTGATTCTGATTCAACCTGGAATTACAATCTCCCTCTCCCTCGTCTCTCTGTCTCTCTTACACACACACACAAACATATGGAGCCCCCTCCCTCCCTCCCTCTGTGAGCAACATGTAAATTTAATAAAAAATTAAATAAAAAATCCATCCATCCATCATTTCTCTCTCTCTCTCTCTCTCTCTCTCTCTTTCTCTCTCTTTCTCTCTCTCTCTCTCTCTCTCACACACACACACACACATTCACTCTCACTCTCTCCCCCCCCTCTCTCTTTCATACCCCCGTGTACACCCACTTGCCCATTTTCAAACATACACTCATTTTATTAAATTCATGACATTGAAGGTGGGAGGGCTGGCGGAGGTTCGCTTCCCCTTCGCATCTTTTGAGTGTAATTCTTGATGTCAACCTGGACAAATCCATGGAGAATGATCCCCTCTTTTGCCTGAGGATATATTCTGGGGTTGCAAATGTCTGCCTTTGAGATGCACTGGAGATTAACCTTTTTATGCAGTGCATTTTTTATGAACTACATCTGTAGTTGTGGACTGTTGTTTTTCCATATTGTCATCTTGGATGAACCAGGCAGGAAATCAGACCGGATGAGCAAAATCTACTTTATTGTAAAGCCATATTCATAGATTCTTGCCAATCTGAAAGTGCAAACTTCCTGCCTCCTCTTTTAACTGCTAGATTCAGCAGGGTGGGTCTCCCTTAGGTTTCTTTCTCACCTAGACAGAATAAAGTGTTATTCTACAACTGTTAAGTGACAGTCTGAGGACTTCTGTTTCTTTTATCTGAAAGTTTCCTAGGGAGGGAGGGTAGGAAAAAGGAAGGAAGGGAAAAAAAGGAGAGAGAAAGAAAGAAAGAAAATAAATAAATAAGAAAGAAAGAAAAAGTTATGCTGGGGAAATTTAGAAAAGGAAGAAAACAGAAAGGAAGCCAACACGCTTAGGAATGGAGTGAAGAAAAAAAAAGTTTTTTCAAAAAAAAGAAGGAAGGAAGAAAGGAAGGAAGGGAGCAAAAGAAAGGGAGGGAGGGAGAGGAAGAAAAAAAAATAGAGGAAAGCCAAATCACACTGGAAAAGCTGTTGCAGAAAAAGAAGACACAATGTCTCATACAATGTCATTTTTCTTACACAAAGAGCGCTCTCTTGTGGAAGCATTAAAGGCAGCCTTATAATGTATCCGAAACAATTTAAAATACTGTAGATCAGTCCCTGGTGCCCCCCAAACTTTGTGAGCACCAGGGACTGGTAAATAACAATCCAGAGTGAACCCATTGCTTGGCTTAACAATGGTGGCATTTGCTTGGGAACAGCCACAAAAAAGAACAGGTTGTAGAATTGGGCTGATCTTGTGGGTGACCAGATATATAACAGTCATGAATTACGACTGTGATGGGCAGAGTTCATTATGGTCATAACTCGAGGAGTTACCTGTGTAGCTCAGCTTCTGCCGTCAGGTGAATTCTGGACCTGGCATGAAATCTGATACTGGCAAGCATGTCTTTTTCATTCTGGTTAGCTCGGCATACTTAGAGGATAAAATCATCCCAATATTCATCCTGCCTTTTTATAATGTTAAGAAATCAAGATGACGCCAACTGAACTAGATTTTTCAAACTGCCTTCTCCAGCATCAAAAGAAAAAACCGGGGAGGCCAAGATCTAAGGATTCTTCATTTCATTCTACTAGTAGAATCCACCCCATATCATCTACATCGGGGTCCCCAAACTTGGCAACTTTAAGACTTGTGGACTTCAAATTTGGAGACCTCTGATCTACTTGGACTTCTGAATCAATGGGCCTTTGTACTGAACCAAATAGACTATGATGCAAGCTACTAGAGAGAGGTCCAACTATTGGGCAGATTAAGATTACCTATCAATAAATACAGGGATTTACCTAGCTAATTTTGACACCACAATCGGAATGCTTTATTACAAACCTGTGAACAAAGTTTACCTTATCAAACTGAATCAGATTGCAGACAAGTTTTTATGTTCTTCACCGCATTATGAAAAACGCCCTGCCTGCAGAAAGCTAATCCTTCAGTGATAAACACACACCTAACCTTTCACTGTGACTAAGTAAAAGTGATTTTTTAAAAAAAATCTGCCTTTTCTCATAGAATTCATCCCAGAAGTTTTTTTTTTTACTCTGTACATACATGCTCATGACAGATTGCAGGGGACAAGTTTCCCAACAGAAATGTTTTAGCAAGCAGGCAGACTTAAACACAGCAGTGTTGCAGAGACACAAGTATAAGTGAAGAGTTCCTTTGCTATCTGTTCAGACAGTAGATGTCTCTCTTTGCTTGCGGCTGTGTGTGTGTGTGATGCACTTCGTCACGCACACCAGGCAAACATCAACAGCCAGTGTGGATTATTTTCCTTTTCCAGGCGAACGTTCCCATCATGCTTTGTAGAAAACCCACAAGGGAGAGGAGATAATGTGGAGTACAAGCACTGCAGATGGAGCATCATGAAAGAAACAAATTATAACCTTCACTAAAGAGCAACACACACACACACACACACACACACACACACAAAACCTTTGGGTAGCAGGATCACAAGTCCAGTTCTTGACTTGGGAGCTTGCTTCTTGCCGGCAGATTCAAGAGAATCCTTGGCGCAACTTAAGTGATTCCTTTCAATCAAAAGATTATCGAGAGCGACCAAATGGATTACAGGGAAGAGATGCAGCTTCAGAAGTATGAAGCCAAGATAATAATAAGAGTTACTGTACCAGTAGCAGAGCAAAATGCGAGGGGAATTGCAGTGAAAGAGAAGCTACATAATTATAAACCTTGGAGGACTCTTGCACATTATGAAACTTGGCAGGACTTGGGATTATTTTTGTTTTGTTTGTGGTGGCTCTAGTCCTTGAACAATGAGGCTAAGACCCATGTGTGTAAGAGTCAGTGGTATACTTGCAAAAAAAAAAAAAAACCCAACCCCAAAACAAAAGCCCTTATCTAATCACATTGCATGAAAAATCAGGGAGGACAAAAGAGCCAAGGAGCGTTTTCTCCCAACCCTGGGGAGATATTAAGGATGAATGAAGCGCTGTGGGTTTGAACGGAATGTGAAAGCCTTAGGAACAATTGTTTTCTGGGAGCTAAAGTGTCCTCCCATCTGCAAAACTCTTTGCGAGTAATAAAATACGCCCTGCATTTAAATACATGATTTGCATGAGGGCAAAACGCTTTGTTCTGTTTGCCTAAGCACACAAAGCTGTTTGCATTACTGGGCACATAATCTGGCATCCATAAAAAATAAAAATAAAAAAAGAGGAAGAATAGATTTAGAATCTCTTTAAGGCTACAAAAGACAGCCAGTTTAATTTAATAGTTAAGATGCTGAACTAGAAGACCATGAATTCTAGTCCCACCTTAGGCATAAAGCTAGTTGGGTAACCTTGGGCCAATCCCTTTCTCTTAGCCCTAGGAAGAAGAGTAAGGATACCATGGAGATAGACTCGCTGGGGTCTCCAACCTTGGCAACTTTAAGACTTGTGGACTTCAACTCCCAGAATTCCTCAGCCAGCAAAGCAACCAGTAAAGCTAGTTGAGGAATTCTGGGAGTTGAAGTCCACAAGTCTTAAAGTTGCCAAGGTTGGAGACTCCTGAGATAGAGAACTATTGAAAGGAAAAGGTTTTTCCTGGCCAGGGGTCCTCATCTCCATTTCTCGGCCAAAGGAGCTGCTGTTGTCCAAATAC